CTGCTCCGAACGCCACTTCACCACATCCAGTGGAATCAGGAGTCACTGACACAGATGGAACAAAACATAGGGGCGTGGACCTCCTGTGAGTCTTATTTCCCTCATTAGTCAGGACAAATGAGCAGCTTTCTTGGGCTGGTACTTCACTGTACTACAGTATTCTTGGGCTGGTACTTCACTGTACTACAGTATTCTTGGGCTGGTACTTCACTGTACTACAGTATTCTTGGGCTGGTACTTCACTGTACTACAGTATTCTTGGGCTGGTACTTCACTGTACTACAGTATTCTTGGGCTGGTACTTCACTGTACTACAGTATTCTTGGGCTGGTACTTCACTGTACTACAGTATTCTTGGGCTGGTACTTCACTGTACTACAGTATTCTTGGGCTGGTACTTCACTGTACTACAGTATTCTTGGGCTGGTACTTCACTGTACTACAGTATTCTTGGGCTGGTACTTCACTGTACTACAGTATTCTTGGGCTGGTACTTCACTGTACTACAGTATTCTTGGGCTGGTACTTCACTGTACTACAGTATTCTTGGGCTGGTACTTCACTGTACTACAGTATTCTTGGGGTCATCGTCTGGTCTTTTCTGCTCTGTGGCCTGTGTGGGCTGCAGGGTGTGGGCTGCAGGGTGTGGGCTGCACCAGGACCTCTCAGCCACTGCTTGATGCCCATGATGTCAGTGAGCAGCGGGCTGCCCCACCTGCCCCCCCCACCTGCCCCGGCTGTGCCTGGCACCGATGAACGACAGCAGCCTGGAGGTCAGCCAGAGAGAGCTGCTGTGTCTGTCCTCACCTCCCAGCCCGGCGCCCCACTGTGTGTTTTATAAGGGCCCCCCCCCCCTCGCCCCCCCCCCCCCCACAAACAGAGCTTCCTTCCTCTAATTACTCTCTCTGTTGTCACACAAATAGTTCTCCTTCCTGAAACATCTGAACAGAACTGTTTTGTTCCTTCAGTTCTCATCAACGGAACTCACGTCTGTCCTAAGTGTCATTATCACAGGTGTGTTCCAAGTGCGCGCGCGCGCGTGCCCGCGTGTGTGTGTCTGGGGCTGAAGGTGATTGAAATGAACAGAACCAGCCGTCTGTGACGTTGTCTGTGACGTTGTCTGTGACGTTGTCTGCTGAAGGACCATCGGGCACAGACGCGTCTGTCACTGTGGTCGGTCAACACGGGCTGACCGTGAGTGATCCGGTGATCCGGTGATCCATGAAACATTTTACGCACAAATCGGTGAGATTTGAATCCAGAGTCGCTCTGATCTCCACAGTCTTTGTCCGTGAGTCATTCTTCAAGACTTGGTGCTTAGGGGTGTGTGTGTGTGTGTGTGTGTGTGCGTCCGGGGGGGGGGGGGGGGGGGGGAT